AGAAGCTCCAGTCTCTTCTCATCATGGATTCAGACTCAGAAATAAAGTTGCCATTGAGGGTCATCGAGTCCAGCCTCTTCCCCAGCCCACGGAGAGGCTGCGTCTCAGAGACGGCCAGGGGCCGCCCAAGATATTGTAGTGGATGCTACCTTTGTTTATGTTTTCTACCATCTTGTTTTCTTTCTTGTCTATTTTTATTTTTATTTTTATTTTGAGACAGAGTTTTGCTCTTGTTGCCCAGGCTGGAGTGCAATGGCGCGATCTCAGCTCACTGCAACCCCCGCCTCCTGGGTTCAAGGAATTCTCCTGCCTCAGCCTCCCAACTAGCTGGGATTACAGGCACATGCCACCCGGCTAATTTTTGTATTTTTAGTAGAGAAGGGGTTTCTCCATGTTGGCCAGGCTGGTCTCGAACTGCTGACCTCAGGTGATCCCCTCCGCCTTGGCCTCCCGAAGTGCTAGGATTACAGACGTGAGCCTCCGTGCCCAGCCTGGCATCTCGTTTTCTTTAATTCCTCTTTGGTTTTGGTGCTCAGACTTCCTTCCCCTTCCAAAAGCACCCTAGTTGCCTGGTCTTAATGGGTCTACAAACCAAGGCATGGGTGTAGGAGCCAAGCTAGCCCAACTGGACTCTCTTGCCCAGGGCTTTAAATCTTGAGGAGGGTGGCAAAAGAACAGGGATAAAAGGTCTAGAGTTCTGGCACAGACCCCAAAATAATATGGCCTAGGAACCAAGGCTCCTGAATCTCCAAACTTCTCATCAATTCTATGAGTTCCTAAGATGCTTTCAATAGAGTTTTGCCTAGTTAAGGTAGTCAGTCTGCTTCTGTCACATACAACCCCACAACACAAACTGATATGCTCACACAGGAGCAGAAACAGCCACACACCTCTCTGTGTTGAGATAAAGCATGACTCCCGGAACCTCTGGCTGCCTGCTGCCAGCTTTGTCTGTAGAGGCTGCATTAAACAACCACCCAAACCCACCGAGGCACAGAGGAAAGTTAAACACTTCAGGGAATGAAACAGACCAATATTTGGTGCTGCAGAGGAACAAGCCAGGGGTTAGGATGCGAGAATCCAGATACACGGGTTCAAACCCTCAACCTTCAGGACAAAGTAGAAAAAGAGATTTTAGGCCAGGCACGGTGGCTCACACCTGTAATTCTAGTACTTTGGGAGTCTGAGGCAGGTGGATTGCCTGAGCTGAAGAGTTGGAGACTGGTCAACATGGGAAAACCCTGTCTCTACTAAAAATACAAAAAATTGGGCCAGGTGCGATGGCACACACCTGTAATCCCAGCACTTTAGGCGACAGATGGGTGGATCATGAGGTCAGGAGATCAAGACCATCCTGGGTAACATGGTGAAACCTCGTCTCTAGTAAAAATAACAAAAAATTAGCCGGGCATGGTGGCACACGCCTGTAGTCCCAGCTACTCAGGAGGCTGAGGCAGCAGAATCCCTTGAACCCAGGAGACAAAGGTTGCAGTGAGCCAAGATCGCACAACTACACTCCAGCCTGGGTGACAGAGAAAAATAAAAGATACAAACAATTAGCTGGGTGTGGCAGTGTAATCCCAGCTACTCGAGAGGCTAAGGCATGAGAATCTTTTGAAACTGTGAGGCAGAGGTTGCAGTGAGCCATCACGCCATTCCACTCCAGCCTGGGCAACAAGAGCAAATATTCATCTCAAAAAAAAAAAAAAAAAAAAAAAGCTTATACCAATGTCCCCACAAGCACACACAGGTACACGTACATGCACACAGACACTCACACCTGCATTCCAGGATAACACCTAGAGCTGGAAGGCAGCGTGTGTCTGGAAAGAGCAATGAACACATGGAGAGAGCCAGGTCAGGCTTCAGAACTCGTCCTGCTGAGCGGCATTTTTCCTCCTGTTGACATTCCCAACAAATGAGTCCAGAGTATCAGTGGCTGGGATTACCCAAGTGCCCTTAGGCGGGGAAGATGTGTTCTCTTTACCAGACTCCACTCTAGCCCGAGTGGCTGGGCACTCCCAGGCTGGCATCGTAACCTCCGCCCACCAGCATTGGCCCCAAAGAGGCAGAAGGTGAGAGTCTGGGTTGGCTGCAGAGGAGATATTGGTCCCCATCACTCACAGTGTCCACTAGTCCCAGAGCTCCCACTCTGCCCCAAAGCCCTTCAGACAGTAGCATCGTATCCACTCCCGACCGGGCGTCTCGTGTGGCTCAGCCCTGGGAGCTCCACCTTGCCCTGCCCAGCAACCCAAACAACAGAATGCACTTGAGTCATAAGGAACTACCCTGGATCACAGGATTAGAGCCCAGCTTCTCTGCCTGCACCTGAAGCCCCTCTGATCCCAGACGGCCTCTCTCACCTCCTCTCCCCACTCAGCGACACACGCACCCTCCTCTCTGGCCGCACCACACCCCTCCATGATTCATTGCATATCTTCTGCTCGGCCCTCAGTGGATACGATACTCTCTCCTCTACAGCCAACCCAGACTCCCACCTCCTGCCTCTTTGGGGCCAGTGCTGGTGGGCGGAGGTTACAATGCCAGCCTGGGAGAGCCCAGCCACCTGGGCTAGAATGGAGTCTGGTAAAGAGAACACATCTTAGGCTGGGCGTAGTGGCTCACACCTGTAATTCAAGCACCTTGGAGGCCAAGGCGGGCAGATCACCTGAGGTTGGGAGTTCAAGACCAGCCTGACCAACATGGTGAAACCCTGCCTTAAAAAAGAGAACACATCTTCCCCCCACTTAGAATTCCCTTCCCCCACACCTAGTTACCAAATCCAACACCACCTCCTTTAAGGCTTCTGGGGCACGGAAGCCCTTAGTCTTCACACAGGTGTGCCACACTTGCCTGTCCCACCATGGGCTATGAGATCCATGGGCAGGGCTGCAGTTTGATTCGCTGCTGGACATCCGGAGGGGCACCCGCTGATACCAATGCATGTTTGTAGAGTTGGCACAAACGGGGTTTCTGCTTTTCCTCTACTGGATGCTGGGTGGGGGAGGTGGCGGCTGGTGTTTTCTTTTTGTTTTGTTTTTTGTTTTTGAGATGAAGTCTCACTGTGTCACCGAGGCAGGAGAATCGCTTGAAACCGGGAGGTGGAGGTTGCAGTGAGCTGAGATCGCGCCACTGCACTCCAGCTTGGACAACAAGCACGAAACTCCATCTCAAAAATGAAACCATCTCTCTTCACTACAAACCCTGCCCCCCGCCCCACCCCCGCTGGATCAAGCGATCCTCCCACCTCAGCCTCCCAAGTATCTGGGACCATAGCCGTGCACCAACACACCCAGCTATGTTTTTGTATTTTTGGTAGAGATGGGGTTTCACCATGTTGCCCAGGCTGGTCTCGAACTCCTGAGCTCAAGCAACACATCTGCCTCTGCCTCCCAAAGTGCCAGCGTTACAGGTGTGAGCCACCAGGCCCAGCCGAGCGTTCTGACCCGTGTTCACTCATTTTCTAGGAGCCTTGCCTCGCAGGGGTCCTCCCTGGGGCTGTTGGGAGGAAGGTTAAGATCCTCGAGCTGGGCTTCTGTGAGTCTAGACCCAGCCTGTGCGAATCACATGAGGACCAGGCTAAAAAGCCACATCAACGCACCTCTCAAACCCAGCCAGGGAGTCAGTGGCTCTCAGGGGGTCAAGGAGCCACTGAGATCACTCAGCCAGTGAACGCTGAGAGGGACTGAGGCACTCTGCTCCCACCCTGGCTGCCTCCTTCTTAGGAAAAACAAAATATCCTCAGACATCTTTTTCCTTGTAACTTCAAAGGCCGCCTGTTGCATGAGCTCAAAGCATTGAGTCACGGTCAAGGGCCCAGCCAGCCTGCGGGGAGGGTTGGCTCTGGGCAGGTGTGGGCTGAGCTGGAGAGCCCTGCTCCTGGGGCCTGTTGTGGCCAACAGTGGGGGCTGGGAGGCACCCCACAGAAGGCAGGGACAGAGCAAGACAGGGTCAGGGGGTGCGGAGGAGTCTCAGTCACTGCTCTGCCCGCAGCTGCCGGGAGACAGGCACAGCCTGGCACAGCGAAGGTGGCCGTCAGTGAGTGAGCAACTGATCGCCTGGCTGGGCACCAGGGGAGGCGGAAAGAACATGAGAACAAGCCTCCCCACTGCTGCCCGCCTGGAAGCTGTCGATCTCCTGCAGGGCCTGCTGAGCCCAGCTGCTCTGAACCCAGCGGCAAGCGAGGGCCCCACAGAGCCAGCCCTTCCCACAGGCTGTGCCAGGGTCAGAGTATGGGCCCAGGGAAGGCTGGGGATGCAGAATGTGCAGGCCAGTAAGATGCCTTCACGACCACTCAAGTCCTTAGCAGGGTTTCGGGGCAGGGCGCCCATGTCTGTGTGGGCGCTTCTTTGTGTGGTCACCTGGAACTTAGAGCCACATCCCCACACCAGTGCCCAGTGGAATCTCATCTTCAAGACTGAGATTCAGCCCCCAACATTTTGTTCAAAGAGTGGAGTTGGCCTGGCATGGTGGCTCCCGCCTATAATTCCACCACGTTGGGAGTCCAAGGTGGGCAGATCACCTGAGGTGAGGGTTAGGAATTCAAGAGCAGCCTGGCCAACACGGTGAAACCCTGTCTCTACTAAAAATACAAAATTTAGCCAGTCATGGTGGTGGGCACCTGTAATCCCAGCTACTTGGGAGACCGAGGCAGGAGAATCGCTTGAAACCGGGAGGTGGAGGTTGCAGTGAGCTGAGATCGCGCCACTGCACTCCAGCTTGGACAACAAGCGCGAAACTCCATCTCAAAAATGAAACAAAACAAGCAAACAAAGGGTGGAGTCATGCAGAGGGTGTCTCTCGCCCGTGACTTTGCAGAATGGAGAAGCTGGGTTGGAGTGGGAGGTCCCGGGTGAGGACCCCTAGAGACCCATGCCCAGCACCCCCTCAGCTTCCCCACTTTGGGGGCAGCCCTGCACCCTTGGTCTGGACCGCCCATCCCATCGTCTCCTGCTTCCCCTCCAGCAGAGGCAAGAGAGGCTGTAAATAACACACTTGTCTACGGGCCTGAAATCCACGGGATTTGTACCGGCCCCACAGTAGCCAGGCTGAGGACCCCAGGCCGGAGCAGCCGTGAGCCGGGCCGCAGGCACAGGCCCAGGCCTCCCACGCAGGGTGCTGACAGCTCAATTCCCAGCCCAGCCACGGGGTCCTGCCAGCTCTCCAGCCGGGAACGCAAAAGTGGCAGATGCGCCTCAGCCGGAGTCCCCGAGGACAGCCAAAGAGGAACGGAGGCATTGCTACCATGGGGACGGGCGGGAGGCGTGCAGGCGGGGCGGGTGCAGGCGGGCGCCTCAGGGCTCCTCTGTGGAGGCCCCAGTGCCAGAAAGCAGGGCTTGTCTCTCCAGGTCCTTGCTGTCCACATCCTTGCTGTCTGGGGTCCCTGCAGGAAGAAAGATGCCCAGCATGCCTGAGGATGCAGAAGGTGCTTTGCTTTGAGGCCAGCGCTCAGCACGGGCTGTCCGGAAATCCTCCCTGTCCCATTCTCAAAATGCATTCCAGATCCACCCGCTTCTCATCACCCTCAGTGCCACTGCCCTCGTCTCGGCACGAGTCTCCCCTGGAGGGTCTGAGTCGGCTCTGCCTCTCGGCCTCAACGCTGACCCTCCCCCGTCTGTTCTCAACACGGCAACCAGGGTGATGCTTTCACAGCATCCATCAGACCACCTCGGCGCTCCTCTCCTGGAAGCCCCCAGCAGCTCCCGTCTCTCTCCGAGTGAAAGCCACGGTCTTTACAAGGACCCCTGCTCTGGCCCCTTATCCCTCATCCCTACCACTGTCCCTCCTGCCGCTGCTCCAGCGACACTGGCCTCCTTGCCGATCCTCAGACACATCAGGTGCGCTCCCACGGCAGGGCCTTTGCACTGCCCGAGGGCCTTCCCCTGGGGGCTGAATGGCTCACTCCCTCGCTGCCGCGAGATCTTTGCTGCAGTGTCGCCTGCACGGCGGGGACCCTTGCAACCTGTGCACACCTGTCCCTCTCTCCTTCCTTTTTATATTTTATTTTATTTTTTCGAGATGGAGTCTCACTCTGTCACCCAGGCTGGAGTGCAGTGGCTCAATCTCAGCTCACTGAAACCTCCGCCCCCTGGGTTCAAGAGGTTCTCCTGCCTCAGTCTCCCAAGTAGCTGGGATTACAGACGTGCACCACCTTGACCAGCTAATATTTGTATCTTTAGTAAAGATAGGGTTTCACCATCTTGGCCAGGTTGGTCTTGCATTCCTGACCTTGTGATCCACCTGCCTCGAACTCCCAAAGTGCTGGGATTACAGCCTTTTTTTGTTTTCGAGACAGAGGCTCACTCTGTTGCCAGGCTGGTGTACAGCAGCGCGATCTCGGCTCACTGTAGCCTCCACCTCCCAGGTTCAACAGACTCTCCTGCCTCAGCCTCCGGAGTAGTTGGGTTTACAGGTGCCTGCCACCACACTCAGCTAATTTCTGAATTTTTAGTAGACACGGGGTTTCACCATGTTGCCCAGGTGGGTCTTGAACTCCTGACCTCAGGTGATTCACCCGCCTCTGCCTCCGCCTCCCAAAATTCTGGGATTACAGGCATGAGCCACCTCGCCCAGCCTCTTTCTCCTCTCTTTCCCGCTTTATGTCTCTCTGTAGCACTCATCACCCTGATCCTGCTGTGTATTTTACTTTTTCTGTTTCTGGTCTGCCTTCACCAACGAGAGTGTCAGTTTCTACAGGGGCCTGGACTTGGCCCAATTCTTTCACTGCCCAGCATCTGCAGCCTTGCCTGGTACGTAGCAGGGGTGTACTAAGATTTCTGAATGAATGAACAAACAAGCTGGCCAGGGGCTCAGGGGGTGGCCAGTGCTGTCCCCCACCCCTAGGAAGTGTAGCCCTGAGCCCGGGCTGGTGCAAGAGGTGGGGGTACCTGTGCCAGGCTGCCAGGCCTGGGCCCGGTCTCTCTCCAGGTACAGCGCAGTCAGCAGGAAGCAGCCGCCCCCGAGGGCGATCACGAAGGCGCAGCACAGGAAGCTCTGTTGCAGGCTGAGGAAGCGCTGCAGGTAGGTGTCGGGACGCCTGGCCCGCAGGGCACTAGAGATCTGCGGAGGAGAAGGGAGGGTCTGCCAGGTCCTCGAGGCTGGCCCCCAGGCCTTGGCAAGGGCACTGCCTCCCCAGACCCTCCCCACCCTACACAGGCAGAGGCGTCTTACAAGTCCCATGAGATAGGGGCTGCCGGCGTCTCCCAGGATGTGGCCCACCATGATCTGGAGCGCCTCTGCTGTTCCCCGGCACCTGGGCACCACCACAGACTGCAAAACATAGGCACAGCAGGGGCACCCCAAGTCAGGCCACTGTCACCTCCTGCTCCCCACCTGCCAAGGATCTGCCCAGAGGAGTGAAGTCCGTTCAGGTGAGTGGGGTGGGAGGGAGTCGACGACCCCCAAGGCCTGAAGTCCCACCCCAGAACATCAGGCCCATAGGAAGTCTCCCAGTGCCCCAGGATGGAGGTGACAAGGCCCTGATCAGGGCCACCCCTCTTGAGACTTTGCCCTTGAACTGGGAAGGAAGCAGGCAGGGCTGTGACTGCAGTGACAGGGTGAGGTGTCTCAGCTGAGGGGCCCAGGACGCAGCAGCGCAGGTGGGTGGGGTGAAGAGCGGGTGCATGCCAGGTGTCTGCATGTGCAGAGGGCTCAGTCCTCTCAGGAACCTCAAGGTCCATAGGGCAGCCACCAAAGGCAGCCTATGTGGAGAAGCTCATGTGACTCCACAGAAGAGGATGAAAGTGTTAAGAAAATGAACTCTGGACTGGCCAAGGTGGCTCACACCTGTAATCCTAGCACTTTGGGAGGCTAAGGCAGATGGATCAACTGAGGTCAGGAGTTCAAAACCAGCCTGGGCAACATGGTGAAACCCCGTCTCTACTAAAAATACAAAACTAACTGGGCTTGGTGGCACATGCCTGTAATCCCAGCTACTCGGGAGGCTGAGGCAGGAGAACTGCCTGAATCCGGGAGGCAGAGGTTGCAGTGAGCCGAGATTGCACCATTGCACTCCAGCCTGTGCAACAAGAGTGAAAACCCATCTCAAAAAAAAAAAAAAAAAAAAAAAAAAAAAGAACTCTGGAGTCAGACTCTCCGGTTCTGATCCAGATCCTTACTCGCCAGCTGTGTGACTCTGAGCAAGCGGCTTCGCCTGTCTTCCCTCAGCACCCTCATCTCCAAATGGGGCTAAGAATAGTGGCTGTCTTGAGAGTCTGACGCGTTATCATTATTCATCTAGTACCCGGAGGCTTCACGTGAACATCAGACTGAAATACGCTCTGAGACAGAATGCTCCCAGGCACTTGAACTCAGCCACACCTTCTGCCTGACACACCTTCAACTCTCTGGTCCATCTGGAGCACCTCTGTTTGTCATTTAGGACTTACCTTTGGGTGACCTCCTCTGTGAAGCCCTCTCAGAGTTTGGGTACCTCCCCAGAGCTCCTGCAGCCCCCATGCACAGCCCTAACTGAACGCAGTTGCCCAGAACTGGGAGAGGCCCTTTCTCTGCCCACCTCCCCTTATTCCCCATGGTGTGTGCACAGCAAAGAACCTAATTTCTCTTGGGTTCCCTGAGTGCAGCAAGGTACCAGGCACAGAGGGCACTAGCTGAGAGTTTGCCAACCACATAAGTCAAGTACGGCCAGGCGCGGGGGGGTGCTCACACCTGTAATCCCAGCACTTTGGGAGGCCAAGGCGGGTAGATCACCTGAGGTGGGGAGTTGGAGACCAGCCTGACCAACATGAATAAACCCTCTCTCTATTAAAACTACAAAAAATTAGCCGGACATGGTGGCGTGTGCCTGGAATCTCAGCTACTCAGGAGGCTGAGGCAGGACAATCACTTGAACCCGGGAGGCAGAGGTTGCAGTGAGCCAAGATCATGCCATTGCACTCCAGCCTGGGCAACAAGACGAAACTCTGTCTCAACAAAATAAATAAATAATAAGTCAAGTAAATCCATCTGGGAGACTGTTCCCAGGAGAGACTCTGTTAGAACCCAGGGCTACAGCAGGAGATAGAAGGAGGGAGGCGGAGGGGGTTCAGGCAGAGACCCCATGGTCACATGAACCGTGAACCTACCTGGACAGCCACAGGGAAGCTTCCCACTCTGGAACCTTATCCCCAAGACCTCCGTGTCCGTAATCTGAGGCCACGAGTCAATGACAGTCAATGTTAGCTGAGCATGGTGGCTCACTCCTGAAATCACAGCACTTTGGGAGGCCGAGGCAGGTGGGTCACTGGATGTCAGGAGTTCGAGACCAACCTGGTCAACATGGTGAAATCCTGTCTCTACTAAAAACACAAAAATTAGCTGGGCGTGGTGGAATGTGCCTATAATCCCAGCTACTGGGGAGGCTGAGGCAGGAGAATGGGTTGAACCTGGGAGGTGGAGGTTGCAGTGAGCTGAGATGGTGCCTTTGCACTCCAGCTTGAGTGACAGTGAGATCCTGTCTCAAAACAAAACCCCAATAATAATAAAATAATAATAATTGCCAACATTTGTTGAATGCTTCCTGTATGCATGCATGTTCTATATTAACTTAAACAACCCATGAGGGGGATATGGTGATCACCTGCATTTTACAGATGAGAAAACCCTCCACAGGTGACTTGCCCAAGGTCACCCAGCCTGAAATAATGGCTGACGTTGCTCCCAGGCCTTCTCCCTCCAGTACCTGGCCCTTTGACCACTCTGCTGTAACGGGCAAGGAGGAGCAGTGTTTCCAGCAATATTTATGCATCTGTTTTTTTTTTTGTTGTTTTTTTTTTTTTTAGACGGAGTCTCACTCTGTCGCCCCGGCTGGAGTGCAGTGGTGCAATCTTAGCTCACTGCAACCTCCACTTCCCGGGTTCAAGCAATTCTTCTGCCTCAGCCTCCCAAGTAGCTGGGATTACAGGCACCTGCTACCACGCCAGGCTAATTTTTTGTATTTTTAGTAGAGACGGGGTTTCACCATGTTAGCCAGGATGGTCTTGAACTCCTGATCTCATGATCCACCCACCTCGGCCTCCCATTGTGCTGGGCTTACAGGCGTGAGCCACCGCACCCAGCCTTATATTTACACATTTGTAATAGAACATTCAGATATGCAAGAGGAAGATGAGGATAGGTTCATTGCCAGCCCTATAAATGGATGGCAGAGGAATCGGTAACTGGCAAAGAGACGGGGAGAGGCATTCCAGGCAGAGGACAGTGTAAGCAAAGGTGTGGAGGGGGATTCCAGGGACATGATCTCTGGAATTCAGAATCCCAGGGGACAGAGGCAGGGGGTTTTGCGGTGGGCCAGGCAGAGTGGCGGGAGTCACTGTGGTGCCTGGCTGGTCCTGGGGCCTCTGGCACTGAGCCACCCTGTGCAGGTGGTGAGAGAAACCGGACCTCTCGCCATCCTCTGGATCTGCCAACAGGCCTAAGAAGGAACTGACCACAGCTTTGCACCTTCCATGAGGACTTCCTTCTCACCCCATAATTATGTGATTACTCACTGGTGGCTCTGGAAAGACAGGCGAGGCTTCCTGGAGGGAGGGGCCTGAATGTCCAAAAAGGTCCACATGGAGGCTGGGGCTGCCTGGACCACCACAGTAAGGTCCGGGCAGGCTGGCCCCTTCTTCCTCCCCCAGGAACCCCAACCTGCTGGGCCTCGGAGAGAAGTGGGTCTCCCCGAGCCTGTTCTAAGACCCTATTGTCACCATGCAGCCAGCAGCCAAGGGTGGGCCCCGCAGAAGCCGGAGAGCCCAGGGGGTAATTTCAGAAATAAGAGGCTTTGGGTTCCCAAAAATCCAGGCTCACTCTATTCTGAGACAAAAACACCTCTGTTTCTAGCTCTCTCTTCTTAGAAAAGCTGCTCCCTTTATAGCCCAGGGCAAAACCAGAGCCAACCAAGAACTTGGAGAAAGACGGAACGGCAGCCACCAGGTACAGACTCCCTGGCAGCCTTCCTCCTGACCCCGAGTCAGCCCTCGCCCACAGACGCCCCTGGGAGGGCGAGACGGGAGACAGGCGAGTGAGCTGACAGTCCCCTGGGGGGCAGAGACTGAGCAGGGAAGCATGGAGACCTGGGGCCGAGGGAGAAGGCAGAGGTGACAACCCTCCGGGGACGTGTGGGGACGCCTGCTGACGGGTGGGAGATGAGCCTGTGGCTGGATTCCAGGACCCCAGAGGACAGGCCTGAGAGAGAGAGAGAATGAGCTCCCCTTCTGCTGTAGCCCTCACACTGGGGGGTTGGGGTGGGCTGGCTCTGGGCCACCCTGAGTGGGGCCGGACAGACAGCAGGGCTGGGAGGGAGCTGAAGACCCCATGACTAGGTTAGGGGAGGCAAGGAGCTCTGCCTGGAGAGATGCGGGTTCTGGGGACACGATCACAGCCTCCAGGGAGCAGGGCCCTCTGCGGCCCAGCGAGGCCAATGTGGGGTGCCATAGGTGGGTCTTGGCTGTGACTGGGCCAAATCATTTTCACCAACAGGAAGCCCCCCAAAACCGGGTTCGGTGGCTCACACCTGTAATCCCAGCACTTTGGGAGGCCGAGGCAGGCGGATCGCCTAAGATTGGGAGTTCAAGACCAGCCTAGCCAGCATAGTGAAACCCCATCTCTACTAAAAATACAAACATTAGCCAGGCATAGTGGCAGGCACCTGTAATCCCATCCTCTCTGGAGGCTGAGGCAGGAGAATCACTTGAACCCGGGAGGCGGAGGTTGTAGTGAGCCGAGATCACGCCACTGCGCTCCAGCCTGGGTAACAGAGCAAGACTCCGTCTCAAAAAAAAGAAAAAAAAGAAAGCCCCCCCCCCACCCCACCGCCCGAGAGGCAGGGTCTGCCTGAGGTGGAGGGAATGAGCTCCCAAGGGAGGCGTATGTGAACAAGGGGACGGCTGGAGTCTGGCAAAGCATTTATGGACTGGGGAGCTTTGGTGCCAGGCCAGTGTTCTCAAAGTGTGCCCTAAGGAATTCTGCGGCAGAGTCACTTGGGAAATTCATTAGAAGCAGGTGCCTGGACCCCAGCGCGGACCCTCGGAATCAGACGTGGAGGACCCGGGACCTGGAAGCTGGGTTGGTAACAGGCTCCGTCAAACCTGATTGTTCAAGCCACTGGACCAGAGAGCCCCTGAGTTCCCTTCTCCAGAAAGAACCTGGATTCTCCCCATTGTGGAGATGGCATCAAAGAGACCAGTGTCCCGAGGAAGGAACGATCTGGAATTCAGTGGGGCCCACAGGCCCGCTCAGCAATCTGGGTGACGCAGCTGTGAGCTCATTCTATCCTTATAGCCTGGGGTGTCGTTGGTGGATACCACCACGATACCTATTGGACAGCTGAGCAAACCAAGACCCAGAGAGGTTCAGCCACGTGGCCAGGATCACACAGCTCCCTAGGAGCCAGGCTGGGAGCGAAAGTAGATGGGCTGCCACAGAGTCCTCGAGCCTGGGGTCTGCTGCCCTCTGCACTCTGATCAATGCACAGACTCCAACCTCCCAGACACCTGCAGTCTCCACTCGTTTCCGTATCAGCCCCTCGTGGCTTTCCTGGCTGCCGAAAACTGTTCACCTGCACGTGCCCAGCCCTCAGCTCCCTGCTCCCTCGTCCTGTGCCCCCACCCCATACACACCCTCCAAGGTCCCTCCCTCCCTGGGCCCCTGCTGAAAGTGAAGCCGACCTCCTGTCTCAGGAACAAGGGCACCTTCCTCTGCTTCCTGCCTCAGGCCCTGTCCCCACACATGCCCTGTCCCCACACCCTCCCTGTCCCTACACACTTCCTGTCCCTGCTCTGCTTCAAGACTGCATCCTCCCCTCCGTGCTGGAGCCCACCCCCTGCTCACCCTCGAACAGGGCCCCTGTCTCCTCCTGCTCCCTGGAGGCTGTTCTGGCCTCCCCTCTTGAAAAGCAACACCAGCTTCCCAGGATCTGCTGCCGACCCCAGCTACCACGCCCTTCGCTCCTGTCAGCTCAGCTCCTCAAGGGAATTATGTACCCTTGGGGTCCTGCCTCCCCTCCCTCGCCCTCCTCGCCCTGCTCCAAGCTGGCAGCTGACCCTCCACGGCACAGAAGCCTCCGCCACCACCTGCCTGTACAGGGAAGCAGCAATGTGGAGGAACTGAGCCGCAGGGGGCTGCAAGGATTGCTCGGCTCGGATCCCCCACGTGCAGAAAGGCATCTGTGACCCCGGGCTCCAGAAGGTGGGAAGGTAGGGGAGGGGGCAGGAGGCTCTGCTGGGGTCAAAGATGTTGCTGAGCGCTGGGGCTGGAGGCTCCCAAGCCAGGGAAGGACCACAGGGAGCCCTGAGGTGGGCTGGCTCCTGTCCAGCCGGCTCTCTGGGCAGCTCCCCACCTGGGTGAAACTGGAGCGGGCCAGCCCGTGACTCTCCTTCCCCACCCCCCGCCAGCACACATTCTCCTCTTCAACTCCACAAAGAGCCTGGCTCTCCAGGTTAATCATTCTTACAAACGCAGGCGCCGGGGGACCTGGGGAACGAGGGTGCAGTCTTCACATATCTGTGGGGCTGTCATGTGGAAGAGGGAGCCGCGTGGCGGGGGGCGGGCCAGGGAAGCTGCCGGGGCAGGTGCGGCTCTGTCTGGACCACCTCAGAGAGGACCAGCTCTGCTGGGGGGATGTGACTCTCCCTGAGCCTGAAATCCAACAATCCCACCAGTAAAACATTTGCCAATGGCTTCCCGCTTCCTGAGAGCCTTCCTGCGGGCCGCCTCGCTCACCCTACCGATCAGGTAGTAATTACCCCTTTTATAGATGGGGAAACTGAGGCCAGGGCCATGCAGCAGGTCTGCGGTTGACTCTGGGCTGGAGCCCAAGTCTCCGCTGTCTGGAGGGAGGGGCAGGAAGAGCTGCCAGCCCCGAAGCTGATACACTCCGCCAGGAGCCAGAGACGGGGCAGGCCTCTCCACACCCACTGAGCCTGTGCTATAGGGAGGGACCACAGGATCTGCCGGGAGGGGCGGACATCTTGGCAGGGAGTGAGCATGCTGTCCACAGTAGGATTCAAGTAGGCTTTGTTGACGGATTAAATGACTATGCACACCCTAACCCTGTCAAACTCAGACTCTAGAACACCACGATTTCTTTGGAAGATAGAAAATAAGAAAATGGAAAATTCGGGATCGTGTGAGAATCCCCAGCCCGCATTCTCTGTGCCAGGCACGTGGATCATCTCATTTCACCCTCAGGACAGTCCCTAAGGCAGGTGCTATTACCATCCCTGCTTTCCACAAGGGGATACCGAGGCTCAGAGACACACAGTCACTTGCCTAACGCCACACAGCTCATAAGTGGCAGGCTCAGCGCTGGCAGCCAGGCCTGTTTTCTGAACCCAGGCTGGTGTCCCCACATTGAACTGCCCTCAGAACCGATCTCAGCCTACTGCCAGTCTGGTCCAGTTCCCTTGTGGCCAGCATCAGACTGTGCCAGGCTGCCAGGAGGCAGGAGGAAGGCTCTCAGGGTACTCACAGGCCTGGGGCCTGCATTATCTGCAAAGCACAGCCCTTCATGGTATTCAAAGTCCTTCCCTGATGCCTCCCAGGAGGAGGCAGGAGGCTGGACGAAGAGCATGGGGCTTGGGGGGTGGGGGACCATGCGGGACTCTGGATGTGGCAATCATTTGATCAGGACAGCATCAGGCCTCTTCTAGGCGAGGCTGCTCCTTGCACGGCCGCCTGTGACACACAAGTCGGGGCAGGCTGGCTCCATGGCCTCAGTGTTGATTGCCCTGAAGGACAGCATCCAAGCTGCACGCCCCAGAGTGGCCAAGGAGCCTGCCTGCTGAGAAGCAGTGTGCTACAGAAAGAGGGAGGGGGACCAGGCATGGCAGTTCACGCCTGTAATCCCAGCCAACCCGGCAGATCACCTGAGGTCAGGAGTTCAAGACCAGCCTGACCACATGGTGAAACCCCATCTCTACTAAAAATACAAAATGAGCCGGGCGTGGTGGCGGGCGCCTATAGTCTTGGCTACCTGGGAGGCTGAAGCAGGAGAATCACTTGAACCCGGGAGGTGGAGGTTGCAGTGAGCCGAGATTGGGCCATTGCCCTCCAGCCTGGGCAAAAAGAGTGAAACTCTGTCAAAAAAAAAAAAAGGGAAGGAGCCCAGGGGGTCAAAACGCCTCCAGCCCTGGCACCCTGCATTGGAGCTGTGTGACTTTGGGCCACGCACCTGCCTTCTCTGAACCTCCATTTGTTCATCTGCAAAACGGGTATGACGGTCAAAGATGTTGCCGAGTGTCAGAGAGGCCTTGGGTCCGAGGTAACTGTGGACGGCTGCAATCCCCTGACTCACGGTCTCTGACACCACTGCCAGCCCCCAGCTGCTCAGCAGCAGAGGCCCAATCCTGAGCTGGACGGAGCCCAGCTACCCCAGCTCTGCCCCCACCCCGACTCCCACACCTACCAACAGGATGTCAGCAGCCACCGCCCAGTTGCAGGATAGAAGCAGCTCGCCGAGGGCCAGGAACACCTGTGGACAGAGGGCGGCCTGGGTGAGGATTCCCAGACCCCAGTCACAGGCCCCACCTGCTGCTCCTCACCCATGGAGAGGAGAGACTGGGACACCACAGAGAAAGGCATTATGGAGACTTACTGGCGTGAGCGAGGAAGGCCTGGAACTATTTTTCTGGTTTAGCAGACTTGAGGGTGGGTAGACAGAGCTAGGACCCACTGGCGAGTGTCCAGCCCCCGGAGTCCCCCACTGGGGCCATTAGGAGACAGCTAGGCCTCCTCCCAGGCCATTGTTAAGGTAAGAAAACAGACTTTAAGCGAGGCGCAGTGGCTCGTGCCTTGTAATCCCAGCACTTTGGGAGGCCGAGGCAGGTGGACCACTTGAGATCAGGAGTTCAAGACCAGCCTGGCCAACATGGTGAAATCCTGTCTCTACTAAAAATACAAAAATTAGCAGGGCGTGCTATCTCACACCTGTAGTCCCAGCTACTCAGGAAGCTGAGGCACGAGAATCACTTGAACCCGAGAGGCAGGGCTGGCTGTGAGCTAAGATCACACCACTGCACTCCAGCCTGGGGGACAGAGCGAGACTTTGCTTCAAAAAAAAAAAAAAACAGACTTCAGAGGACAAAGACCGAAAGACTGCTGGAGCCTGCCCACCCCTCTTCTGTTTTCCCCAAAAGTCTGTGTACACTGCTAAGGCACCTACTGTGTGCCAGCCAGCCTGCCCGGCCCCAGGCACCCCCCAAAGCCCCCTCCAGGCCATCCCCCTCCCCCTGGAGCAGCACAGGCAGGTGGGACAAGGCCTGGTACACCCGTCAGGCGTACAGTTAAACTGAGCCTCGTCAAGGGCAGCGCTTGTCTGGGGTCATGAGTTGACCCTGGGCAAAGACTGCCTGGAACGCAAGGCTTCCGGCCCCTGCCCAATGCCCACCCCCAGCCCTGCTCCCAATGTCCTTTGGTTACCACAATCCCTGAACCCCCGCCTTCAACTCATGCCAAGGGATTAGGACAATCCTCATTCCGCTCACTCAAGAAGCGTTTAATGAAGCAGCAAGAAGAAAGAGAGAGAGAAAAAAGTCTCATTTCTCAAAGCTTCCAAGAGCTTATTGCGGGGGGTGAAATTAGTCATTCCTGGATCACGGGGCTGTGCCCAGGGCAGCCCAGGCTCAGGCACCCAGAGACCTAATGATCAGCGGCCAGGGAGCACCCAGGGTGGAGGACCAGAAGGGCCACCCCTGTCCTTTCTCGTGACCCTGTCTAACCCCTCAGGTCAGGTGCCCCGTCAGGCAGATGCCATTACACCCATTTCACAGACAAGGAAACTCAGGCTGGAGGGCACGCATCAAGCCAGGTCCTGGTGAGCGCCCCACCCCCACCACTGTGCTTGGGGGTGAGGGTGAAGAGGCCATTTTGGGGAGGAGCTCGGGGGGGTTCCCAGCATCCACAGTGCCTGGTGACGCTAGCACAGGGGAGTCAGAGGAAAGGCCGAGATGGGCAGGGAGCCCCCAGGCAGAGGTGGTGCCGAGGAGAGCTCTGAAAGGACAGTCAAGATCCGGATGGGTCCAGGACACCCACGGGATCGCGCCACCAGGGGACCCACAGGAGCGGAGGCAAGGGGTTGGGATGTCCCACTACGCCAGGCGGGGCGGGAACGTGGCCCAGCTCTGGTGGAGGGAGAGCAGAACCCCGCGAAGGAGCCCAAGCACTCTCCTGGTCCAACCCAGTCCCTGGGACTGCAGTGCCTGGTCCCCGGTACCCACACTGAGAGGCCCCTGAGGGCACAGTGGGCGTCCCTCAGGCCTGGGACATGGGGCCCGGCACCCACAGGGGTAAGAATCAGGAAGTCACTGGCAAATAGGTCTCAGGCGGGGCCCAGGCAGCTTCAGGTCCACATTCCAGCCCAGCAGGGTCTGCCAGCTGCCTCCTGGGGCCACATGAAAGCCCGGCCGACGGACACCCACTCCCCTTCGACTTCTTCCGGGCGCCTGCACCTGCCCCACCAGGACTGTCACCCCCCCAACCCCCCGACACCACCAGCATCTGCCTCCGCGACCTCCCCTCCCTGCGCCCAGGCACCCCGCCCCCAGCCAGCCCCCGTTTCACTCTCCCCTGCCACTCCACACCCATAGGACATGCTGAAATACACCTTTTCCTTCCTCCAGCTGGGGCAGGGTGGATCCCCCCCAAAATAGAACCCCTCAGAGGGGGCAGCCACAATGGGGCCTTTGAGGCTGAAGAAGCCGCCCAAGGATGCCAGGTCTCAGACACACCTGGAGGCTGGCACCGTGCCACCAAATCCTGGTCTCCACTTGGCGGCTTTGAGGGGCAAAGGGTTCAGCTGCGGAGAGGCCACCTCCTAATCCTGTAATTACAGAGTCTCCGGGGCAGCGGCCACCGGGGCTGACTCAGCTCCAGGAGGGGCTCCACAGCCAAGGGGTGTGACCTACCGCGGTGGACAGGCCCAGCCCCACCCTGCCTTGCTGCGTGGGCCTGGGGAAGCCCCACCTCTGAGCCTTGGTTTCCCCAATGGTACAACGCTGGGGTGGTCCAGATGCTCGCCCAGGGCCCTCCAGCACCAGCAGCCCCTGCATGTGAAGCTGGTGACCTTGCTTCATACTGGACCTCCTCATAGACCAGTCTACACCACCGGCTCCTAGAGTTCAGTGGCTTCCATGGGCAGGTTTTTTTTTTTTTAGAGAGTCTAGCTCTGTTGCCCAGGCTGGAGTGCAGTGTAATGATCTCGGCTCACTATAACCTCCACCTCCTGGGTTCAAGAGATTCTTCTGCCTCAGCTTCCTGAGTAGCTGGGATTACAGGCGCATGCCACCACACCTGGCTAGTTTTTGTATTTTTAGTAGAGATGGGGTTTCACCATGTTGGCCAGGCTGGTTTCGAACTCCTGACCTTGTGATCTGTCTGCGTCAGCCTCCCAGAGTGCTGGGATTACAGGTGGGAGCCACCACGCCCGGACCTCCATGAGCAGTTCAAACCTGGGCTCCACCACCGAAAAGCAAAGCAAGCACATAAAAAGGGCCCTGGTTTGTAGGATTCAGCTGACTGTTCAAAGCTACTCCTACCTGGGTATCTGGACACTCCCTCCTGGACAGCCACAGGCACCTCCCACTCAACAGCTGCCTAAACTCATTCTCTCCCCTGTCCCCAAACATCTGTGTTCCTGCCCACTGTGGCTGAGCCAGGACACGACACAACCCCAGGTGCAGACAGGTCACCAGCGAGCTGCCGGAGCGGATATCCTCTGGCTCAGGAATCTCGCCTGGCCCCCATCACCCAGGCCAGGTGCTGGGGGTGGGGTCCTACTTGCCTTGCTCACCCTCACACCCCTCCATCTCAGATTTCTGTCCATTCTGCATCCTGCCCGTTCCTCAAATCTGCCTCCTCCTCCTGCCCACGGCTGCTGGCCAGTGCACTCCAGGCCTCCCCCGGGCGTCTCCTCCCCAGTTTCCCAGGCCCCATCATCCCTCCAGACACCAGCCCCAGAGGGGACTTCCGAAAGAGAAATCTGATTCTGCCCCTGGCTCCTCAGAGTCAGTGCGGCCTCCTTGCACCCTGACTTAGATTCCCCTGGGAGATAGGGCCTGGGAACCCTGCCTGGAGCCTGAGAAGGCGGGAGTCCCTCCGCCCCTGGCCTCTGCCATTCTAGACTGAGAGAATTTCCCTTCAAGCTAAGAAACTGATGATGAATGTCCCTGGCTTTGATTACCCCTGCCGCAGAGACCCTCTCACATAGGCACCCATGCTCACACGGTCACGTGTGTGGCTGCACGAGCATGTCCAGACACAGGCACAGCCAAGGCCTCTCACATGGGCACACAAGCTTCGACACACAAGCACACTCCACACACGCACCTACAACCCAAGACACACACAAAGAACTCACACGCCACGACCACACACATACGGAGGTAACGGGGAGCCATTCCAAATATCAAAGCAGGCTGGGCAATGGTGGCTCACACCTGTAATCCCAGCACTTTGGGAGGCCGAGGCGGGCAATCACCTGAGGTTGGGAGTTCGAGACCAGCCTGATGAACATGGAGAAACCCTGTCTCTACTAAAAATGCAAAATTAGCCAATGTGGTGGCGCATGCCTGTAATCCTAGCTACTCGGGAGGCTGAGGCAGGAGAATCGCTCGAGCCTGGGAGGCAGAGGTTGCAGTGAGCCGAGATCGCACCATTGCACTCCAGCCTGGGAGACAAGAGAGAAACTCGGTCTCAAAACAAAAACAAATATCAAAGCATGCACAGCAAGGGCACCAAAAAAATGATGGCTATCAACGCTGGCACAGGCTCTCTGGGGCACCCTTGTCAAATAACAGCCTGGCATGTACCCGTGCGTACCTGTGGTCTCATGATAAGCATAATAAGTTATGCTTACACACACACACACACACACACACACACACGCTTGTGTCCTCACTCTTGTACACACCCATGAAGAGTGGCTGTGCACACACTTACACCTTCACATGTACATAGCGCTCCTCATGTCCACCTGCACACACAGCTAGGCAGGAGGAGGAGGCAGGAGGAAAGGGTCAGCCCCAATGGGGTGGCAGGGGCAGTGCCTTCAATCTTGGTTCATCTTGATCTTGAACTGCCAAGAAGGGAGCAGGCCACCCTCCCCCAGGGGCTGGCTGTGCCCAGGGCAGAGCTGAGACCCAAGCCTCCTCCCTCCCAGACCAACTCTTCACTGAGCCAGGACACAGACCAGCCGCTAGCAAGCTGCTGCACCCGGCTGGCATGCTTTGTCCCTGGGCTTGCCAATCTGTAATTGCAAGGACTGGCATCATGGCACACAGGCACCGCCTGGCTTCCAGGGGCCGGCAGCAGCCCCACAAGCCGGGGGGTAGGCAGGTGGGGAGTGAGGCAGTGAAGGCAGCAGAACCCTCGCGCCCTCCCAGAGAATTCAGCTGAGACTGTGAGCTTTCCTGGGGGCTGTGAGGCCAGCCAAGACACACCAGCTAAATCTTGGCAGAGAGGTGGGGCCGTCAGAGG